AAAGCTGTATCAATAATCGTGTTTTTTTTCTCTAGAGCAAGTTTTATAAGAGCTACGAAAATTCGCTAGAGCATTATTTTAAGAAAGGAAAAAATATGTATGTCGTCAATCACTCATAAGTACACTATTATTGTTGCCATGTACTATACACCCTTGGAAATAAAAAGTTGGAATGAATTTTTTGCAGATGTTTTCCTTCTAAAAGATACTTTAATAAAATCAATTCCATATATTGACAGCGGTCGAAATTTTCTATCAACTGGGACAGTCTCTTATATGGCATCATCTCCTCTTTGCTCCCATTATTGATGATTCTCTTGTTTCATTTTCTCTGTATTATTTTCTTTCTATGATATTCTCAATGAGTTCCTCACTGTATCATTGCTTATTTGTCGTTTTTTCCAGGTTTCGCATGGCGTATACATCTTCCTCTAAATTTATTTTCTTCGATTGAGCTCTTGTTGTCTTCTCTTTCTTGCACATTGTACCATAACGAGAAGAGAAGGATGACATAAAGTAGTGTTCATACGGACATATCTCGATGCTAGGACATTTCATCAAGGAATAGATAGTTGCAGACAAAACGTTGTGAACAACATATTACAATATTCTAGGATGCAATATATTCACATTTAACCAACTAATCTTGTAAAAAAATAATGATAAAGAATGAAGAAAAATAATCAGAATATCTTTTCTTTTTATAAAAACAATTTAATACTAAATTGAAAAAGGATTAACATATTGGCAAAGTCTACGAAGACTTTTCAACAAGTAAATCTGAAAACTCTTGTCTGAAACTCTTAATGTGGGGTATGGGTGGGTGGAGGATCCGTTTTAATCGAAGAAACGTAGTACCACACCCATACCCACACCCACACTCACATCCATACCCACACCCGAATAAATTTGATCAATTTTTACAGTTCTTGATAATTTTCATTATTGAAGTTTCTATTATTCAGAAAAGTTTCTTACAAGCGTCAATATTTGGAAATATTCTCTGAAACAAGCTGATTTATGGCTTGAGACTAGAAGCAGGCAAATATTCCGCCATTTTCTGTAGTTGATTTCTCATACACGCAAATTGATTTCCACCAAAGTCCTTGTCACGTCCTGTACCAACCAAATGAACCCAAAGAACAACTACTTGAGCAAAGTTATCGGCAAAATTGCTATTGGCGTAGCTATCAGGTACGCACGAATCTCGCGCCACAGCATCATGCCACTCTCTCGATGCCGACTTACCACGATCCATTGAATGTGCTGATTCATGAATGAATACAGAAACGTGCATATTGCTTGAACAATAGAACGAAACATCTCCACTCGATCCAGCTCCACCACACGTTCCAGCACTTGCTGAGATCATGGCTTTGTTGTAGCGACGAATAGGAGCGGGCACTTTTCCCATGGTATCTATCATATAACTGGCACCAGTAACTGCATTAGGACACATACATAAAACAAGGCTTTTACTCTCGGAACCTTGGTATGTAACAGTTAGAACATCTTGTGGTGAAGCACCATTACAATGACATAGATTTCTATCACCTCCCTGTCCAGCTGGCCTTGTTGGAGCTCGAAGAAAACTGAAATCGAGATTACCAAGTCCAGATAGTAGTGCAGGTTTATTAAGATTTTGAATACTGAGACTGATGAGTGAGAGCACAATCGATGAGTAGAAGATTATATTTGTGAGCATCTTGTATTCTGCTATTGCTATCGCTAGTCAAATATGAATATAGTTATTTCGCTTTTTATATTTTCGATAAGAGTATGAATCTTTGCCAGCATGGGAAAAAATAGTGATTTATTCAGATGACGATAAAGAAAAAGATTGACTGAAGGTTAAAAAGGACGTGTAACAGGGATCGGATTAGTTTTTCGAGAATAGAAGAATCAAATAGGATTTCATTTTTTCAAAAGGTACCATCTGTATTATAAAAATACGAAAAATTTAGCATTCATAGAAATTCTGTAAGAAAAAAATAAAACGTATCTTCTCTCCATGTTCCCATGCAAAAAATCTTCCACTAAGATAGAAATAGAGATAAACAATTTAAGACAGATTAAAATGATCCCATCAATTTCCTTCTCTATATTAGAATTTACAAATATTTTTCTTGCCTTTTAACTTATGTGGATATCGGTGTCGTCGTGCTAGTTAAAACGAGAAAACATATCCTGAAACCCACAACTACACCCACACCCTCTTATGATAAATTTGGCATAGTTATATATTTACGCTAAAAATTTAAAAATTTCCAGATAATTGAGATCTAAACTAGAAAGAGCGCTCCAGGTTTTCATGCTCGTCTGGAATAAATACATTGCACCAAGTAAAAACGTTATTCCTTTTAGACTTATGAGTAACTTTGAATCTCTCTTGAACACTTCTGACAGAAAGAATTGTTGTACATAATACATCAAAGTTACGAAAGACTATTTGTATGTGAGAAGCAGATTCTTAATTTTACGATGGTCTTCATGTATTAAAAGTAGAATTAGACGTGATGCACTCCGATCAGATTGGCTTTATGATTGAAAATCATAAGTTGTTCAAGCTTACGATATTTTTGGAAAGGATTGGACTATTCACTTAAGTATTCTACATCGGTGTACAATATTATCTACAAATTCGAATCAAAACCGGGTATCTTTTTTTTTAAGAAAACTGAGAAAGAAATGGGATAAGAGTAAAATTGCTTTTTAGATTGAGAAAGAAATTATCTATGTGAAAAAGTCCTAGTGGCCGATAGAATATCTTAATATAGTTTATTAAAAGATCCACATAATTTACTTTGATGGACTAAGATTGTTTTTTTTCATAGAGATAGTAGAGTCTATTATAGTTAATTTGTTATTAGGATAGGTACTATTTTCTTCCTCTATCACAGGTTGTCAGATGGCTTTGTACTCTAATCAAGATGATTCTCTATATCTGAAAAGCACAGCGATGCTTTACTTAGAAAGGCCTCTTTGATCGTGTGGCCCCTGACGAGCGTTGTCTATATAACGTCTATGGAGATAACCATAAGTTCCGTGTAGCTCACTCTGCTTGTGCCCTCCAGGTTTTTGGAGGATCTATCTGGCCTTGCGCGATTTCGAGTGCAGAAACGTCGAGCAATACGTACGAGGAGCAGAAATCAAAAATTAAACTTATATAGTAAACCAAAAGAACAAAACGCATTTATAGTTTCTCTTTCAAATAGTCAATATTGTCCATCGTGTTTAAAATCAGAGAATCTGTTGATGGAAGTGATTTTTGATAGATAGCAAGTGCCTTTTCTGCAAAAGATAGGACCTTTGAATAATTTCGCACACTCAAATACACTCCATCAATATTATTGTATTAAGTAGCCAGAGCTGGATGATTTGGAGGCAGAGCTAGTTGTTCTATTTTAAGTGCCTTTTCATAATATTCAAGTGCTTTCAAGTAGTTACCCATTTCGTGATACACTCCATTGATGTTGTTGTGAGAAATAGTCAATGAGAGATTGTTCGAAGGCAGAGCTTTTTCTCTTATCTAAAGTACTTTTTCGAAAAATTCAAGTGCTTTGGAGTAGTTACCCGTGTCGCGATACATTCCACCGGTATTGCTGTAGGAATTAGTCAAGTTAGGATGATTTGGAGGCAAAGCTATGTCCCAGATTTTATTTGCTTTATCATAAAATTCAAGTGTTTTCAAGTAGTCACCCATATTCTGATGTTCTTAACCGATGTTGTTGTAAGAACTTGCCAAATCGGTCATGTCATGATACACCGAACCGATTTTACTTTAGGAAGTAGTCAATAGGGGATGATTCATAGGCAGAGTTTTTTTTCCAGATTTTATTTGCTTTGTCGTAAAATTCAAGTCCCTTTGAATAGTCACCCATCGTATGATACAGTTGACCGAGGTTGCTGTAGGTAATAACCAATTTAGCATGGTCTGCTAGGAGAGTTTCTCGGCAGATTTCGAGAGTTTTTTTTGTAAAATGAAGCTGCTTTTTGTAATTTCCTTGGTCTTGTTTCGCCCATCCCAACTGATAATAGATAAAAACTTTAACACTATTGTGAGATGTTTGTTCTAGTAGTGCAGTATACAATTGTCCGTCTTTGTCGAGTTGACCTATTCTGAGTAACAATTGACCCATTCGTATCTAACCTGTTGAATCTGAAGTTTCTTGTTGAATATGATTTGTGAGTTGACGGAGTTGTTGGTCCTCATCTGACGTAAGGGTGAGATGAAGTTGATAAAATGGACTTTTGTTGTCAGTTTTTCGAATGTCACCAATACAAAAAATGGTGTGCATGGAAAAGAGAATTTCATCTTCCTTCTTAAAATAACTGACTTCCTGGATAGAGGCAAAAGAAGTCGAGGAAGTGGTAGGATCTATGAACATTCGAAAAAGAACACCAATCATTCCAGATTTTCCTAAAGCACCTTTGACGAAATGAAGTGAGACACCTCGATTTCTACTCATGGATAAAAAGTTATTGAACAATATGAGTCCAGCCTTGTTTTTCTGTAGTTTTTCCAAGTCGAGTATCAATAATTCCTGTCCTCGGAAAACTTCAAAGGACTTTGTTCGATAAAGACTGATCTGTTGCTTTATGTAAACTTTCGATTTCTCAGTGTACATCACAAAGAAATAACTCCATTCGGATAATAATATCAGCGTCGAGCGTTCGTAATGCTGCATTCAACATTTTGTATGTGAAACACTCACGTGTATACTACCAAATGACTAATGATGGTTGATAACTGTATTGAAATTCATCAATAACCCTCAATTTTTTCAGATTTACTTGGTATAAATTTCGACAATATGTGGTTAAATCGTTTGTAGACTGTTCATCATGTTCCATATCAAGAAGAATTTCCTTGAATATGTAGGAATACATAAAAGTAGGTTCCAACTCATTAAGATTTTCACTATAACCTCTCTCATCCACATTGACGATGCTTACTGATATTTCGTCCTGATTACACTGCTTGACTGCCACTTGCAATGCTTCACAAACTAGGTTTCATTGATATATGAACGCCTTTTTGATGTTCGATCAATTTTCAGTCTATGGTTCATTTTGTTGTTTGCTGGCACAGAAGATGTAAATTGTATCTAAATTTGGCATTTCATGAATATTTGACACTAGATGTTGTCCTAATACATCAGAGAAGATCATAAATGCTGTCTGTTCATTGTTTTCATTAAGCAATTAAATACATTCTGTCGCCGTGCGGCAAGGACTGACGTCATTGACAACCTCACGCAATTGTGCCAGTGTTCATTCGCTGGATCGAATTTGTCATCCACCCAAAGGACTAAATAATTTTCAGCAAGGCGTTGTCTCCGTCGCACGGTTGTCGATGATGCTGATGTATTTTTTACACTACATATTTTTGTTTTGAAATTATTATGCTTTGATTTGTGTCCACCCATATGAGATATATTTCGTCGTTTAATCAGATGCCGAGAATAATAAATAATTGTATGTTATTTAGATAGAAATCTTTTTATATTTATACTGTTATTGACTCCCGTTCTCTTTCTACAAAAATGAATGTGAGTGTTTTTTTTTCTTGCTGATACTCGAAGAAAAATTCTACCTTATTTCAATTGAAGGCATTGTTATCAGCGACAAAGGAAAGAGAAAACTGCCAATAGCAAATATTTATGGCATGACTATTCTTCTATATTTTTGTTTGCTTTTCATTCACTTTATGGCTTAAAAGTCAATATGTTGAAGATATTCTCACACTCCTTGTATATTTTGCTTTGATTTTTCGAAACAGTTTTTTTCTCTTTCTAAAAAGAACGAGAAAAACAAAGATAGCACCATTTTGATGGTTTTTATTATGCATGTACTTGACACTCTAATGATGTGAACGAAACGAACAAGAAAAATAAATTGAAATTTAATTGAAGCAATAAGTGAATAACGTGTTTCTGTCTTGTTTAATATACTGCAGATCATCACCAAGTAATTCAAGTAGAAGGGTGTAGGTGTAGATTTCGTCTTAGCAACTCGCAAACCAACAACCACCCATACTCACACCTCCTGTAATCGATCAACAAAAAAAAAGTCTTATTTATTTCTGTATTTCGAACAGAATTATATTTTCTTATTGGCACTCTATTTTACTTTAAACTGATTCTATTTGTTCCTTATATCATGCTAATCAGTAACAGAACTGGAAAATAAGTCTGATATACAATATATACATTACATTTACAACAAGTGTCATCATACTAGCATACATCTGTATTATCAGCGGCGGAATGATTTTAACCTAGAGGAAGCTCGGAATATTTTTCCAGAGAACGCTGAGAGGCAGAATAAAAAAACGAATAATTCCTAGTTTTGTATTCAGGTTTTGCAGTCGGTCTATATTTCCTATATCTTTAGAAATGGTCATTTAATGTCCTATTAATCAGGCAATTCTTCTGTTTTCTATATATCTTGGAAAAGTAAAGATGCTTATTAAATTATAAATGCTGCCAATATCGATTGCCTGCTGTCGTATCAAAAGTTATTCACGATGAATCATCTTAAGCTAAGTTACAGAGAAATTAATTAATATTCAAAACAAAAGAAAAGATGAAACCGATAGAATAACAGCAAAATGCTATAATTGATTCAATGGTTAGTCTTGGTTAAAACAGATTTTTTTCTTATCGTTCATTTCGTTCCATGAAATTCTCTACCCAAACAGTTGCATTACGACGATGTCAGCTCCATGGAAAGATCTCAAATATTTTTTTAAAATTTGCAGATTATTATAAGGTAACACGTAGCGAAAACAGCTATAGATCACAGTAGCATTCAAAAGCCCACGAGGAATTTCCAAATGACCTTGGGAATTATTATCCGTCTAATCGGGTTTTTTTCGTAGTATAAACGAGCAGAAGTACAAAAAGAGTATGCGCATCTCGATGAATCCATAGCAAGATCCATGCCCACACTCTCTTCACGAAGATTTATTCTTTGATGATCCTTCTACCCTGTCAATCAATATATCGACATTGAAGCATACTACTACTACAAACTTTAGTCAGTTCATCTCTTTTTTAAAGTTAGATGCCTATTTTAGGTTGAGACATTTTTTATCTGAATACTAATTATAACTGTAAAATACATATACGATCTGATATTTTGCACATGAATCTAAATGTTTTATAATTTTTTTTGTGTTGTTCCCAATACATATCATGACATTTTATTTCTATCAACAAACGTATATTATTCAACATAAGAATAAGTACGAAATGAAGAACAACAAAAAAACCGAAGATGAATGAAAAAAGTACAGTGACAAATTCTTGAATAACTATAAAATGAAGATATTATAAACATTTTATATTCTGAAGCCAAGCATATGTGCACTTCTACATTATTTTTTTTTTCATACAGAAGAAAATTGGAAAGATAGCTATTAATAGAGAATACTTCGATGTCAATTCATAACGTTCGAATTATTCGAAATAAATAAATTTTGCTGCTACAAGTGTCATTTGTATGTAACATTAGAAATGCTCTTAATTCTTGTATTTTTCGTTCGAGAAGCGAACATTTTTGTTCCGACTTTATACATTGTTCTTTTTCTTGTTCGTAAAGTGCTTCCTTCTCTTGTATTAACTGTTGCAAATTACCAATCATTACATTCAAATCTTTCAGTTAATCGTTTTTTATTGAAGTCTGTAGCAGATAAAATAACTTTTTGTGAATTTACAACGAACTTTACCTACCATCGTAAACATGACAGAGAAAAAGTTCAAATTGCTAAATGAAACTCTTGTTTTTTCGACATTGTTCGCAATTCACCAACTATTTGAACAAATTTCAAAATAAATTAAATGACAACTATTTAATTTGATAAAGCAGCTGATTTTCTTTGCAAGTATATGAATGAATTCAAAAATTCTCGTATTTACTTTTTTGCTTCTTTACCCGACATTTGAACATATTACGGAACTTTTATTTAAAAAAGTCTCCGTAATGTACTAAAATTCAGAACAGTGTTGGAAGTGGCATGTTAGGCACAACCACATCCTAGTATCCATGTGATTTCTTTATATTTTCGACGTATGAAGAAATTAGTCGTTCATAAACATATGAGAGAAAATACATGAAACATCCCAATAGCATTACTTTCGTTCATATGAGTGAAAGGCGCATACTTTTCAAAAATCTTGTCCAATGCTAACGTCATTATATTTCAAAAGTTTTTTTTCGTAGTGGTTGTCCGAACTTCGAGCTTTGGGAGAGAGTGTAAAAATATTTTTTGTTTGAGATGGTTATGAGCCTGAAACTATTAGACTTTTAATCGTGCATTCTGTACATCGTTCTTTATATACTTAAGTACGATATAGGTCGCTACTATTATCATGTAGAATTAGTATGTAGTTAAAGTGAACAGGCAAACATTGAGATACTGGCGATAAAGAGACGCAAGGGAGCAGAAGACTAATAAGAAACTCAATGGAAACTTTCAGCATTTAGTGGAAAGAAAACATTTGCATCAAACCCAAAAAAGTGTTCAAACACTTTTATAGTCGACCATTTTGACACTGACGACACTTGTCCAAAATTACGCTTTTGGAAAAGATACAAGAATAATCGAAAAAAATTTTCAATAATGACTTTATTTGTGTAAATTTCATTTATTTTTGCAAGGAAAATTATTTCGAGGCTGATGACAAATTCTGCGACCTTCTGTCATTTTACCTTGAAAAGAAAAATGTCAATGCATACAATGATTTTTCACAACAGGTAGTCATAATATCAACAACGTTTTCAAAACCAAAGCTTGTTAAAAGTAAAAAACATTAGAATATCGACAAAATCAATGTGTTGAAACTTTTTCTGGCCTATTGTGCTTATTTAATCGCTATTTCTTCTACAAAGGATAAAATCTTCATGGTACTCTGTAATCTGTTTGTATGAAATGTCATTTAATTCAATTTTTCTGAAGAAAAAAGCGAACAGTACGCAATGGCCATTTTCGATCATTTCTAATTCAACACATATTAGTCTCGCATCATTCTCATCGTTATAAATGTTTTGAAAAAAAAGTGATCGTTCCCTGAATCTAATAATAGAACAACTTAAACAACAATTCATTTGCTTCCTAGGTCTTAGCATTCCCTTCTAAACTAGGGTGTATGTGGGAATCTTTTCTTGCGCCATTTGAAATTTCCACGCCCACACTCTGTTTGTACATTTGAAGTCATTTATTATAACTAGAAGCTTTTCTCAATGCTTGTTAGTCGATAACTTATAAATCTAACCCTTTTCTTTCTATTGACATTTCCACCTCTAATCACTTCAATTATATAACTTCTTTAAAATATATACCATGTCAAAAAAACACATTTTTGTAAAAAAAAATTACGGTTTTATTGAGTTTTCTGTCTTTACCTAGCTGTTTACAGAGCTGATTTATAAAAAGACGTGTTTTTCATTAGTGTAATAATAAATACCAGTAGCGGCACTTGTAAAATAGATTACCTAGAGAGCAGACACTATTTCTGTAATGTGAAAAAAAATGAACGCGCATCTGGCATTGATTGTAGATAATTTTGGCAAGCTGTATGATTTCATAGTGTGTCAGACGTCAATGAAATCATACTGCTAATGCATGAAACTATACATACGTATTTCTGAGTATTCTAAGCTATTCGAATTGCTCCGAATCATGGTTTTTCCCCTTGCGTAAAAGACTAAAATCAACAGTATTTCCACGCTTTTAAAACTTAAAAATCGCTTTGCTTTTCTAAAAAACTGTTTTCATAAAAAATTATGAAAACAAATAGGACATAATACAAGACTCGGTGAAAACATCGTATACGTGGACATAGAAATGATCCAGGCTCTATTATTACAGAAAGAACTTTGAAAAGTTTTATTGAAAATATCAAAGTACAGGTTCGATCGAGCGCAGATCCGGTCTGAAAAAGTCTCATAAACTGAGCTTGGGTTCCTAAATTGTGCATCCAACAGATTTTATTCTATTATCAGTTTTCTCATATGAAAAAATTTAGTGATCTCACTGGTTTTTATCGGCCTAGAGGTATTTGGCCGGTTACTGCTCCAGTGTTGCTGAATAGTTCCGCATCCCACACAGTCAAAAACGTTCTTTTCGTTTCCTATTCTACTTTTCCCCATAGTGTATGCAGGATAGCAAATCTGATTATGATATTTTTCTTCGTGAAAGAAAAGTGATGAACAAAATTAGTTTGCTACAACAATATCATCCACTAAAAATTGTGCATTGACTCCATCAACTATGAATTCTAAGCCAACCATAGGACGTAATAATGGCAAAGAAATAGTTTGTATAGCCGTTACATAATCTGTTGAACCAGTCTTGAATACTCGTTTGCCAAGGGCTGGGAGTACGTGAACCATGAATGAATCAGATGTTCCATTGTCATAAAAGAGTTGTACTGTTAAATGATCGACGAGCCCTTCCGGTGCTCTGCAAACTTGAAATCGGACCCAAGATCCAGTCATAGCATTTTGGAGATGAATGGCATATTTTCCAACGGAGCTATTCGTGGGCTGTAAGATTAGCATTGCTGAACGATATACTTTAACATAGACGGAGCCCCAGTGTAATAAATTAACAATACTGACTTTTGAACCTGCTATTGTTCCTTGCGTGACATCATAGTGTTCGAAGTCAGCAACAATCGTTTCATTTGAATCTTGAAATGTGGATATATAATTTGTATATGGTAAGTAAGGCATTGCAGAACGATAGTCTTCGAATAGAACTCGATAGTGCATTTGATTTTTTAAAACAAGGTTCATTAAAGCAGCTATATAAATTTTACATAGATGCTGTTGTTGCACCATCGTTAATAATGGACGAACATTCATAAAACGACTTGCACCTGGAATGAGATCAAATCGTCCCCAATCTCTATTGAATTGTCCATGATTTGCTTGATGAACATACACAGACGCTTTGAAATTGTATTGACTACTATTCGATGTAAATCGTAAATATCTTAATTTTGCTTGAAAGAAAAATGATGATAGATCTCCATCATATATTCCATGAATGCCAAACATCGTGACGTCCTCTGATATAAGACTATGTCCGAGTGGCATGTAACCATCGTCTGTACCACCAATAGAAAATAGTGCCTTGATACCAAACTCGTAATCCGTGAATGAAACACCTCCGGGATAATCAGTCAAGAATTTTAATTTATTGAATACTTGTGCAATGACAATAGCTTCGCCAGCACGTGAATGACCCATCAAACCGACATTAGATAAATCGATTTGGTTATAAAATCGGTTGTTCGGTTCGGCATCCCATAGTCGTAATTGTTTTAATGTTTCCAAGATCATGATCGCTCGGGCCATCAATTCGGGTCCGTTACGAAAATTGAGAACATATTTTCTAATAGTCGATATTTTACCGTATCCTATGGAAGAAAACGTCGGCGCCACGTTTAAAAAATTCTCATCGATCGATACGGCAATAAAACCTTGACTGGCAAGCATTGTTCCCAAATACTCATATCCCAACTCACTGGACTCTGTCGAAGCGTGATTGCCATGAAGTAGGATTACTACAGGATAGGGACCTGTTTGATTACTCGCATTGATAGGATGCCAGATTCTGCCGTTGAGAGGCAACGCAGATTCATTGTACTTGAATGCACGTCTATTGAATGATGATAGGGTAATTATGGACGATAGATCTATTGTTGGGGTTATGATCGAAGCTTTCGTTCCGTATTCACTACGATGATCGAAACCACTACCATAAGTAAGAAATGTAAAGGAATAATTTCCATTTACAGAGGGATCATGCGTCAGATTACGTGGATATCTTTCCGATGGTATTATCACATCAATTTTCTGATCGACACCATCTATCAAATAGTATCATAGCACAAGAATAATGCCAACACAGCCAATCACAGTAAGAAAACAATAAACGATTTTGATTCGTTTTTGTTGATGAAATATAACCATCATGATGCCACTGATAAATAGCACATGACTCAATATTAAAGCTATTCCAAGTCCTAAACCAGCTACGGCTGACCCACCTATCATGGCTGTGATTGTCATAAACAAAACCAATGTGAGAATATTTGCCATAAAAAATGAAAATCTACCATAAGATACTTGTTGTCGAATGAAATCGCATTTATTCCATAAAAAACGAACGACAATAATCAAGACGTAGATTACGAGAGTGATCATCCATATGATGGTGGACATATAAATGACAAATAGTATAAATGTTGCAAATGGACCATAACCGAAATTTAATGAAGCCATGACAGAAGCTGATAATAGAAGTATCAATATCGTCAAAGTAATATTTGTAGCATTAACTATACGTGTAACAATGCTAGGTTTAGTTTGCACCGCTTGTGTGTTGTTTCTGATTTGTCTTCGAAGTCGCACAGAGAATAATACAATAACAAAAACGTTTGCTATAATGCTGATGATGATCAACGACTGTAATTGTATTGTGAGATTACGCATAACCGTAATCGTAATAATTAAAATGATCAAGATAACAGTACATATTTCAATATAAAAAGCATTTTTCGAAGTTAAATGTGATTTTTTCATAGGTAAAAGCTTGTCATTATCATTATCGTTACTCGTATCATGGACTTTTGTCGACATAATTGATTGTAGAACGTTAGAAAAATATTAATGTTCGATTGAATATTAATTCTTCTTTCGTCTTCCAATATAACCTGACAAATCACTTATCTGAAAAGCTAGAGAGAATATTGTCTATACGAATTTCACTATAGAAACCTTATCATTTTCATCGTTAACAGGCGTATTGCTTAGGACTCGGTTGTCAATGACTAGTAGCTTCTGCAACACTGATTCTCTATCGGCAAAAACTTTTTGTCTAGCTATTTGAGAAATCTGGTAAACAATTTCCTTTCAGTTTTGCAAACATCAGAGAGCTCGGATCGCAATATAGACCAAGACCAGAGTTAGCATATCCTTTATTATGCAGTTAAGATTCTGTATTAGATTCATGCGATATATCTTGTCTATGTACAAATAATATCTTGTCTGCTTTCCTCATTTTGTATACTAGCAAATAAGGGCAGTTAAAATCAACAGCAGTGACTCACTAATAGAGTAAAGAGTAAAGCTGAAAATATATTTCATTGCTGTACTTTTTTTCTCTTTAACCAGGTCAAATAAAAAATAGAATTTCAAAATGTAGACAAATAACATGCATTTCTAGAGAGTTTTCATCAATGCGCACTTACTTTATACCTTCGTTTAGCTGTATACTACAAACAACGTCTACCCTATATGACGTACATCAATACTACCATGATGTGTATAGATAAGGAACAAGCGCACATGTCACTGTTTATTACACTTTTCAGTAGCATTGTGATAAAGTTCGTTTGGTTGCTCAGTGAAGAAGATGGAGATGCTGCTTGATCAGCAAATGTGTTTTTATCTCTGTGTTTGCTAATGTAGTTAACCATCATGTCACCAACCTCGATAAACATGACGCAGCAAGCGCTCGGTTTGATACACTGACGTAGGCCTTGGATATTGATATCATTTTCTCTTCAATCGCACTCATACTCACACCCTCTCCTTAGTCATGACAATTTTGACTCTAACTCAATCAAATGATTATATTTAGAAAAGAAAACTTGATAGAAAAAGAATATTGATATACTATTTGATAGTGTTCGTAAAGTTTTATTATGCCGGTAACTAAATTTCTTATCGAAAATTTTCATAAATCATAAGATATATTAAAATTTCATGTACTTTTTCATGTTGTAAATGCACCACATCCAACTAGAACACTTTGCAAATAAAATTTGTAGAAGAATTTATGGGGTATCTTTCATAAAACAGAAATGCCTCTGTACAATGATTTTATATTTAGATACTCACAGAAATAAACTTAATCCAAAACCATTGCATCACCCGCTAATATAGAGTTACTCCACATCACTTGCAAGATTATGACTGATCAATTGAAGAGGAAGTATTATAGTAGTGAATAGGAGTAGCAATTTCATTTGCTGTCTTTAGGAGAGGAAATTTATGAAGTGAGTTGGATGACAAGTGTTAAAAGCTTTCGTATGTTTATCATCTATTTATCAGATGAGGTTCTAACAGATATATAATTGACATCTTGAGAATGTTTTCTTCTTATTTCACTTTCCTCTTTCTGCCTTTCTCGCCTTTCAAACTATCTTTTATTTTCTCTTATTGTTCACTTGATGTTCCATTCTCTTCTAAATATCTTGATATAACAGGTGAGGCAGAAATAATGGAGCACTTTTGCATTTCATCTTCTTATCACTTAATACGTTCTATTAACACATTCGACGCGATGGGTCCCACCGGTGGGATCCACTGTAGGGTGGCCCAAAACTTCCTTCACTGCAAAAAAAGTGAATATTTCTGCCATATTTTGACGGAAGAGGCTGGTTCTTTTACCACTGATAAAGGGATGTTCATAACTCATATTCATAAGAGAAACGCTGATAAAAACTGTTTTGAAATATTAGAATTGTCTTGAATAAAGAAATGAAACCTTTTATGAATTGTGAAAAAGAAAAATTCATATCGCGGCGAATGTGTTAAAAAAGAAAGTATACCGCAAGATATAGCATGAAAAGCTCTACAATCTACAAAGGCCAGCTTATTCTATTGTTTATCTTTTGTTCTGAAAAGTTTAACATTCTATGCGACTACTGCTGGTAGCATCGAAATTTGATCACTCAGAAGTCTGTCGATTTTAAAAACAAAAAGTGTAACTATAAAATAACTTGGCCTTTGTAGATTGTGGAGCTTGTCACGCTGCATCTTGTGCTGTATTTTGTTTTTTAATACAACGTATTACCTGATGATAAAATGAAATGCAAAACGGCCCCATTATTTCTGCCTCATCGGTATCGTGACCATTATGTGCGCCTTAACATAACCTAAAAATATTTTAAAAATTTTTTTTCTAAACCCCTCCCCATATTAGAAGCCCCTCCCATATTAGAAGCCCCCCCTTATTAGAAGCCCCCTCTGAGATTAACAACGTGTTTGACGTATTAGAAGCCCCCCTAATTTTTCGAAAAAATTTTAAAATTTTCAAGATTTTTTTTCGCATTTTCATGCTAAAACTGCTAAAATTTTTCGATTTTCAGGTAAAAAGTTGGCTGACTCTTATCTAGCTTAGCTAACATCTGAAAATAATGTCAAAAATCTTCTGGAAAACTCATAAAAACCTTGAAAGTCGCTAAAAACCCTTGCGAACCCTTTTTTCTGGCAGTTTACGAAATTTTTTTGAGACTTAATAGAAGCCCCCTCCAGAAGCTTCATATGATAGACATATTAGAAGCCCCCCGGGGGCTTCTAATATGGGGAGGGGTTTAGTTGGAGCAACATATATAGAGCGAAAAGATAGTTAAAGGATGAGAAAAAACAGATGCAGAACACTAACAGTAAGAAGATAGTTGGAAACGATGGAGAAAGAATGACAAAAAATAGGAAAAAAAGGACCATAACAACTGCTTCTATTTAAAAAAGGGTTTTATTCCACTTGCAGTCAACAACATAGATACTGATGACTTCGAGAAACTTGAAAGACTTCAACTGTCCCTTCCTTTCTGAAAGTAAGAAAAAAAATACAAGTAGCATCCTTAGCAGTGATACATGTAAAATTTTCTGAGGATTTTAATCATCTTCGTATTGTTCTTGTGTTCAATGTCATTTTCATTTGAATGATCAATTAAATTTACGAAGCCATTGATATCTTTTTTCTTTTGCTGCTCCTTCACTGCCTTACTCCTGCCGCATCGTTTCACAATCTTCACACTCCACTGCTTGTCTTTTTTTTGTGGAACCGTCATGATTCGACAATTGTGTTATTTTCTCGGTTGAGAATGTAGATTCTCTTTCTCTTATGATTGGCTTGTCTGTAACAACAAATGAGGATAGTAGCTTTTCGCCATCCTTGATAATAACATTTATTAAGCTAGTATCTATCTTTAGAATGTAATTAGTGACCGTAAACACACAATTCTATACGAAAGAGAGAGAGATGAGCACGGGACAAAACAATAGAAAGGAAATGAAGATCAGCTTCCGCTAGTATTATCATAGTAGCGTAAAGTTTGAAAGTTGAATTCAATTATTGAGCTTTTCAGTTGAGGTATTCACATATTTAGCTGTTTCAATTGTCAATGTGTGCAGCGCGTGTGTTTGTTTTTTCGTGGCATTCACATCAAGAGAGATACTTGAACTTCAAGTTTTCAACTTTCAAATTGGACATATGTACAAATGCTTCTTCTTGTTAGTTAGAATAACACGTTCAAACGCAGATCTCTATAAGAGCAACATCT